CATGATAGCTTTTAGTTCTTCCACTTCCCGTGCAGTACAGAGACTCCATGGATTTATGGCTGAACCATCTGGGGCTATATCTTTTTCTGGATCTTTAATCAAGCAAGCCTTATTCAGAAACCTGTACAAATAAAGGTGTCACCTAATGTTGCACATTGATTCATGAAGAATGGTATTAAAATACATAGATTCCCATGTTGACTAGTTGAAGAATGAATTAAAGATATATAATCTGAAGGTAAGTCCTATTGAAATGGCCAAAGCTATTTTGATAGAAAGACAAGCCTAATATCTACTTAATTCTCTAAAGTCTAATAAATAGGAGTTTTGACATGACCTGAGTTTATCATCTGAGCCTTCCTTATGATGATATCTTCCAGGTGAGTTCACGGGTGGAAGCTGTAATTTTTCTGTTCTTATACCACGCGACAACGACACGTGAGAAGCTAGTGATCAAGGTAGCCGTTGGTTTCCGCTTTATGTAAAGTGAAGAAGCAAGGAAGAACAAGAAGGTTGATAAGAACATCAGTGCAGCAGGAACTCCAAAACCCAGTTTCCAGCAAAAATGGTCTTGGACATAAACTATTGCAGTGAAGGCAGTTATGACAGCAGCAGTTGTTGAAGCATAGTACCAGCTGAAGAATATTTCTAAGACTTTTTTGTTCACTTGATCTGCACCAAATGCCAACGAGAACCGAGCCCACCGATTCCAATGTTCATGAGAGCAAAGCAAGAGAGTAAGAGAATTAATTGCCCTAATGTTGCTGAGCCACAGATTTCTGTTGCTTGGTTGCAAGGTAGAGGCCTTGCCTGTGGTGTCATGGCTGTGAGCCATAATAGTGTTATCCCCTGACATTAAAGAAAACAACATTACTTTCAGCAGATTTTGAATGTCAATTCACCCAATGGGTAGTTTAAAATTAATCTGCAGTTAGATGAAATATTCAACTTAAATGAGGCTATATTAGTGCATCAAGCCCAAAACTTTGTTCTTGTAGGCCTTATTCTCTATTAAACCACATGTAAAATCTCAAACTTTATCTATATGTTATTTAGGAAGTTAACATTTTGGACGATATAAAGTTGGGTCGCATTTGCTTCAACTCTTTAGGATTCTGGGAACAATCTGTCCCATAATAATCATCATGTATCCCAATATAAGCATACTTTTTAAGATTTCATTCTAATGTAACACTTGGTGAACCATAAGCTTGGGTCTTTCCTGTAGTAATCAGTGAATCATCATTCCCACTTCTCCATCACTTCATTGTCCTTCTCCCATGAAAAGTTATGTATGGTTATTACTGCTTCTGGTTTTTAATATAAGACTTTGTTTGATCTTTATTTTGGTCCAAAATAAAAGATGTCATTTGACTTTTATTTTGGTTCTAAATATAGGGCCCTAATCTACTTTGTCTCTCATATTTATTTTTTTTTCAAGATAATCCTTCAAATAATGGTAGTTCTCACCAATAAACTTGATTAACAAGGATATTTTAAGAAAAATAACACCTATTTATTATAGACAACTAACTTAACTTATTTCCTTAATCTGCTCAAATTAGTCAACTAGCTCTTATATTTAGGACCAGAGGTAGTATCATTTTAGTCTATTTTATTCTCTATCATCCCAGCTCATTTCATTCCTAATCTTTCCAACTGACAAACAGGACCTTAGAGTGGAGTTTCACAGATTGTTTATCGTTAGAAAATTGACTCGTTGAAGTTACTAGTACAAACTGAGATCCTTCAAATATGATAGACTCGGTCAAAATATCTCTACGGTCAACAAATTAATAAAGTATTAATAGTGTATTGTGATAATTAATCGATATTCATTTTGCAGTAGTCAAATCAATCTGCTAATCTGCTATATATTTAGCAAGATTCATCACTTCCTTACTATGCATTGCAATAATTAGAAAGCGAAAGAGCAAGATACCCTTGTAAACTGGAAGTTTGCTTTTTCCTTAAAGTGAAAAAGAAGGTAAAAGGGAATAATGCCAGGAAAGTGAAGACAGAACCTAAGCCAACAGCGAGGAACCGACCCAGATAAGAATCACCGAGAAAACCACCGACCAAAGGAGTGTAAATTTCCAACAGCAGAGGATAATCCATGCATACAAATGTTGATAGAGAAGACTGTGACATTTTTTTTGAATCTTATAAGCACCCAAAGGTTTCACAAATTCCGTTGTGTTTGTTTCTAGATGCATATGCTGTTCTTCTGTTTATCAAATCTCTCTACTGTGTGACGTACACATACATAAAGATCTTCCATTTACTCCATTCTTCATTTCATTTTAGATTTAGATTCTTGAAATGGTTCTCAATCTTGCTCCATTCTTCTTTTTGTTCCTGCTATGTCCAAACTTTTGCTTCTCCCTTCTGATCTATGGAGAGATGCTTTGCCCAAAAATTTGCAGCATGCGTCAGACCAAACTTTAATTTCTGCCAGCAGCTAATCACTTTGTCACTTTTAGGCTGCATTCACGTTAAAAAAAAAAAAAACAGAGAGAGAGAGAATTATAATTAGATCCCAAGTAAGAAAAATAATTAAAAACAAGTCCTAGAGGTTGTTATTCTCACTATAAGACTTGTCATAATAAGCTGTTGACGTTGTTATTAAGACTTTTTGGTAATTATTTTTTTTCTGTGAAACTTGATTGTAATTCTCCTTAAAAAGAACCAGGTTGACTTTCTTCAAAAGCTGACCATTCTTTTGGATAAGAATAATGTAAAATAAAGTTCACAAGTTACTTCTGGCCCCAAAAAAAAAAAGGTTCACAAGTTACTTGGTGCCTACTTAGAATATACTGGCAGTTGTGTAAATAGACCCGGTTTGACCCAGTCCGATCAAGTCTAAAACAACCAGATGAGGCAATTAGACTCACCGAACCCGACTAAGGGAGTGTTTGGAAGCACCCAAAAAGTGTTTTTTCATAAAATAAAGTAAATTCCTCCACATATTTACTTCGTACACTGTAAAAATACTTTTAAAACTATGATTTTCATTCCAACAAAAAAAAATCATGATTTTCATTCCATCCAAGCACCTCCTAAGTCATCGGATCAGATCAGAGGCTATTAGGAATAATTAGTCCTGCACAGACCAGCAAGATATAATTTTTTTTTGGGAAAATTAGAACAAAGGACTTGTAGAGGAAAATATTTAGTGCAGAGGATCATAAAAATTAGAATTATTTTAAAAGACCATATATTAAAATATAATTTTAGAAACACAAAATTGCCCACAACGAATCCTCCTATATTATCTCATAAGATATTTCAAAAATTGACAGTTAGTGAGTTTTTCTGTTTTCCATTAGCAATTGATTTAATTTAATTAAAAATATATGTAAATTTATAATTGGGATAATTAATCCGCAGCTCCTTATAGTTTCAACTAATTTTGAATCAGGTCCTTATAGTTTTTTTTTCTTTTTATCAGGTCCTTATACTTTCACCTATTTTTAATTAGGTCATTGTATTTATTTTTCTTTTTATCAAGTTCTTATAAGTTCACCTTATTTTTAATTAAGTCCCTGAATTTTTTATTCTTTATTTTATAAATTCTAATAGTACTATTATATAAACATAAAATAGTATATATTATTTAATATTAGTTTATAAACAATAATATTCTAAAGATATTGAATTATTATAATGATTTTAATTTTTTCAGCAAAAAAATTAATTGTTCTAAAAAATTTTCCTGAATTAATTAATTCTATTACTTTTTTATTACATAATTATTAATTTAATTTAATTATTAATATTTTATATTTTAGTATTAATCTATTTAATTAAGCTTATATTTAATTAATAAATAAAAATTAAAACTACATGGACCTGATTAAAAATTTAGTGAAATTATAAGGACTTAATTAAAAGAAAAATAAATATAAGAACCTAATTAAAAAAAGATAAAAGTATAAGGACCTGATAAAAAGAAAAAAAAACTATAGAGATCTGATTCAAAATTCGTTGAAACTATAAAGACTTGTGGATTAATTAACCCTTTATAATTTAATTAAAAATACACACATATATATATACACACACAATTGAAAATATTTTCAGCGAACACATATATTTAAAATATTTCACAAAAAATTTTAATAAATAAATGAAATTAAACATTTAAATTACTACAAAATAAAATTTTATTTTTATAAAATTAATTAAACTTATAATATGGTAACTGATTTAATTGCATAACAAAAATATTAGAATATGTATTTTTAATTTTGAATAAAGATATGTTATATGTGATTAAATGTACTACCTTTGGTCCTTAATATAAGACCTGTTTGATTTTTATTTTGGTCCTAAATATAAGACCCCAATCCACTTTGTCTCTCATATTTATACTTTTTTTTTTCAAAGTAACCCTTCTAATAATGATAGTTCTAATTAATACACTTGATTAGTAAGGATATTTTAAGAAAGAAAACACCTATTTAAAACAAATAACTAACTCAACTTACTTCCTTAATCTCTTCAAATTAGTCAACTGGCTCTTATAATTAGGGCCGGAGGTAGTAATTATTAAATAGTATTTGTGTTAAGGAAGGCTATTTTGGTCCAAATAATAAGTTAACACTATGATTTAATGGTTATAGATAAAAGATAAATCTTAGAACTAGAAGAAAGGCTTGTACAATATATATTTTGATTTTAAGAATATTTATGTAGATTTTCAAAATAAAAAAGAGATATTTGTAATTTAATTAGAAAGAATGTTGATGTATTTTACTCGTTTTTTTAAGTCCTTCAATGTAAACAAAATTAGAAGAATCCAACGAATAAAGTGATAAGGGTAATTTGGCACCTTAAAATCTGTACTTAAACACTTAGTTCTTTTAAATAATTCTAATTTTTATAGCCCTTCTTACTAAATATTTTTCTCTATAGGTCTTTTGGGTTAATTCTTCCGTTTTTTTTAAAAATCTTTTTCACTCTCCCTAAAATCTCTCACACTTTCGTCAGCCACCTTCTCTCCTGACCTGTTGAAGCCACAGTCTTCTTCCTCTTCTTTTGTTCATCGTCGGCGTCGCCAGTGCCTGTTGAAGAAGCTTAGGCGATCTTTTGTGTGATTCGGTCCTTTCTTTGGTTCAGTGTCTTCTTCCTTCCCCTCTTCTCCGTCGCCGCTTTTCCTTCTCCTCAGGTGTGTGATAAGGTCAAGATTTTTCTCCCTTTATGCTACATCCATGTGCTTGGCTGGGTTAAGGAGCTTTGATTCTTCTTTCTTATTGATTTGTTGTGATGTTGGGAGTAACGCGGAATTCTTCTTTCTTTAGTGTTTCCGTGCTGTGCATTTGGAATTTGAATGTTGTGTGTGTATATTGTTTTCACCTACCAATTCTTTTTTCTTTTTTTCTTTTAGCAGTGCTTCATTTAATGAGTTTGTAGTGTAAAGCTTAGTTAAGTTGGCTTCTCATGCATTGGTTTACTTTTCAGATTTAAAAAGCTAGCAGAAAGTATGCTATCATAGAATGGGACTTGTCAGACACTATATATTAAATATCTGAACCAAATTGGAGTTAAAGCTAAGCTCAAAAGATTGTCTGGGGCAATGTAGATGAAGAGAGCAAGAGAATATACCCTTTGAAACAACCCAATGATTCATTGTGGCTCGTCATAAGTATTTAGGGAGATTGGATCTGGTTGAAAGGATGCCGTGTCAAGAAAATCAAGAAAAATATGGTGATGATACTGAGGAAGAAAATAAAACTAGCATCTTAAAAATTTGGTGTAATGGCAGGCAGGTTAATTATAATTTACTGTATCCATTAGTATACGATTTCCCTGAAAATGCTAATAATTCGAAATGAAAAGCTTAGTATGACTTGTCACTATTGGAGTTGCACAAAACAGATAGGTATCTGAAGATGAAAACCTGAACATAACTTTAAAACAAGCAACATCCAATTCAATGTAAACTTCATAATTCATGAGAATAATTTGTAGAATTGAAGGTCGCGGGTAGGTTTCATAATCTCTCCTGCCTTTCAATAGGAAATCTCAAATTTGCTGATATATAAAAACCATATTTTAGTTTTATTGATTGAAGCTCAATAATGTTATGTATCTTTAAAAAGTTTTGGGATGTCTGGGTTAAGTGTTGTATATTGCTGTTTTGGTGTTTTTTGATGTGGTTCATTAGTAAACTTTATCTTTAATTTATGGCTTATGTGAAGGTGGAGGCAGCAATTTCTGAAAAACACACGCAAATAAAGGGAGGGTATTGGGTACTCTAATTATAAGCATGCTTTAGGTGTGCTTGCTAGCTGGCATGATTGTACAGGAGTATATGCCATTGAAACCATGGAAACTAAGAGCGTGTTGTTGTGCCATATTATGAATCAAAGAATGTGTATATTTAATCCATATGAATGCTTGAAGTTAAAAACTATGTATTTAATTTAATAGAATACTGTCACTGAAAAAAAAAAAAATCATATCAATGCTATGACTCATAATTTTGCATTATCCCTTTAAGCATAGAAGAAACTACATAAACAATAACAATGTTACCTTCATTATTGGCGAATTCCTGCAATTGTGGGTTGATGTAAAGCTTCAACTTAACAAATCATGCTCTCATAGTCAGAATCTCCTCTTCTCATAAATTCGTAGTAGGCTCAGCTCTTATCTTTGAGAAGTCGAGATGAAAAGGGTATGACAAGTTTGATCATTAGGTATTTTTCTGGACAAAAAGAGTATTGACAATGGCGAAGGCTCGGCATAAAGCCCAGAGAACAATTACATGGTCATTTTTAAGGAACTGGAAGAGTAATAGGGTTCAGCTCAAGGAGCCAATTTCGTTTTCCCCTCTGAAATGTTTATTTCCTTTCGTTTTTGCCTGCACTTGGACAGTTATCCTAGAGATGGATTTTGCTCATTATTTGGAAGTGATTGGTCGAGAAATGCCAACTTTGTTTTGTGGTAATTAAAGTTGCATTTTGTTCCGTGGTCAATTGAAGTTTATATTTAACGAGATTTTTAGATGATTTTTCTGCCTGTCTTTTGGTTCATTTTGATCACAAGGCTTAAATGAAATGTTGAATCATCTTAGTTCTATATTTTAACTTAATTTGATCGGCAAATTTTGTCCTATTGAGGACATATATTTGGTCGAAAAATGAGGGCATGTCATGCTTTTACGAAGAAGTAATATATTGAAATTCTGACATCACAGTAACAAAATGATAGGATGTTGATTCGGTTGATGATATTCATTTCATAAATTTGACAATAATACTTATTGTTTTAAGGATCAAATCATGTCTAGATACAATGAAGGGTAAGTTTAGGTGATTTCAATTGATCTTGAGTGAAAAATTAATCTCTCTGTGTGTGCATAGAGAACAAATATTTTATGAAGGTATTTAGGATTTACGCGTGTCATGAACTTTTAACATATCACATAAAAAACATATAATGAGATATTATTGACATGCTATCATGAATTCACGAAATGTTTTTGTTTTTAAAATATTTGTTTGTTGTGAAAGCTATGAATTTGTTTTATTAATTAAGTTTAAGATGAAACTACTTCAAATTCACGAACTTCCCCTGCATTGTGCAGGAAGCACATGCTAGTTAATCATTAAAAGAATCTTGGCTATCGTTCTTTCATTGATATTAAAAGAATCTTGGCCATCGTTCTTTCATTGATACTTTTTAAATTTTGATTTTGGCGCCATGCATGTTGGGAGATGTTAGGAACATTTCATTTATGCTGATTATGATTCTTTTGGCTATTGGACCATGTAAGTCGATTTAGTAATACCTTTTATTTTAATTATCCCTATGCAGGTGAATTTTCTTTAGCTTCAATAAAAGATGGCTAGATGGGATGCAATTCTTTCTCTTCCTGTACAAAATCCTCCTACACTGGAGTTTTCTTCTGTTGATCTAGTATGGTCAAAAGTTGAAGGTTGGCATGACAAATTAGACAGAGTAGCTTTAATCCCATTTGCTAGAGTTGATGATTTTGTTCGGGGTGAATCCTCCAACAAAGATTGTCCCACACGATTTCATGTTGAAGCCAGACGTAGGAGGCCTGCATCAATGTCTTACAAGCCAAAGGTTGACGGCATACTAGAATATATTCTGTACGTTGCAAAATTATTTGTTAAACAACTCTTAGTCGATACTCCAACTTCTACTATCCTAAATGTTTAGAAATTGATCTTATTATTGGTGTGTAGGTATTGGTGTTCCTTTGGTCCCGATGACCACAGGAAGGGTGGCATTGTACGGCCCAGTCGGAGTACTTATGTTCCAAAGAAAAAAAATGCTGGTCGACCAAATACCAAAAGGGGATGCACATGTCACTTTATTGTGAAACGCCTGATAGCTGAACCATCAGTTGCCCTTATCATTTTTAATGATGATAAGCATGTGGATAAAAAGGGGTTGCCATGCCATGGTCCTCAGGACAAGATGGCTGCTGGAACACGTGCTATGTTTGCTCCGTACATCTCAGAAGATCTTAGACTTCGTGTGTTATCTCTTCTATATGTTGGTGTCTCTGTGGAGACCATTATGCAGAGGCATAATGAAACAGTGGAGAGACAAGGCGGTCCATCTAACCGTGATGACCTTTTAACCCATCGTTATGTTCGACGGCAAGAGCGGGCAATACGTCGGTCTACATATGAACTTGATCCTGATGATGCTGTCAGTATCAGCATGTGGGTTGAAAGCCACCAGAGTCATGTATTCTTTTATGAAGATTTCTCTGATTCAGACCCTTTCACTTTAGGCATTCAAACTGAGTGGCAGTTGCAACAAATGATTAGATTTGGAAACCGTAGTCTCCTTGTCTCAGATTCAAAATTTGGTACCAACAAATTGAAGGTTTGTTGACTTCTGTTCCTTGATTTGAAGTAATGAAAATCTTAAAACATTTTATCATAGATTATTAGTCTTACTGAAACTAACTGGAAGCGCATTTACAAATGCATCCAGTACCCCATTCACAGTCTTCTAGTATTCAACTCTGACAAGAAGGCCATACCAGTGGCTTGGATAATAATGCCAAGATTTTCAAGTTTGGATTCACATAGATGGATGAGAGCCCTTTATAATAGGGTCCATACTAAAGATCCTACGTGGAGGTTGGCTGGCTTTATAGTAGATGATCCTCTATGTGATATCCTTGCGATCAGGTTGGCTGTGCTTATATATGTTTTTTTTTTTTTTTTTCAAAATTTTCTTCTAATATGCAGATTAAAACTTCCAAATAGTAGAATAATAAATTCTAGTTTCTGTTTGACATTTTGCAAAGGAGAGAAGACATTTATTGATGATTGATACCTGCTTATAAATTTTGGGTGCTTTGGAATGCACTGCAAAAGCTGGTGACTCTGCAGCTATATTTGACTTTTATCATCGGGTAACAGGTGTAGATGCATCTGTTTTCACTGTTGCCAATCATGGGATCAGTGCTTTATGTGTTCTTTTTTCTCTTTGAATCAAAAATTGATCCTTTTCATTTTCATTTTTTAAGTTCCAAGAATAAGAATTAAACTTATATGTATAGGTTACTAGGACTAGAAAATGGGTGAAATGAACTGTAACTATGACTGAGTCCTCTGGTCCTAGTCATGAGACGTGTTCCAGGTGATATAGATTTGTGTGTATGTTAGTGCTGACTGCTGATGATTAATTCAAACATGAAGCTGTGTGGATTTGAATACTTTTCATTAAAAGGTGTTTTTTTCCCCCCTCCTGATCAAAATCCGAGTTTTGAGTATCAACCTTTCCTATATGTTTCTCAGGGATGTTTTTCAGTGTTCAGTATTGGTAAGCTTCTGGAGGATTCGTCATGCATTGCATAAAAACATTATGAAGAAGTGTTTGGATACTGGGATGCAAGCTGAAATGTCAAGACGCCTTGGACAAATAGTGGACAAAATATGCCGGGGCCAGGGAACAGTGGTCCTCTTTGAAGATTTTATTGAAGATTTTGTTGATGAATCAGATTTTATGGATTATTTTAAGGCTACTTGGTATCCCAGAATAGGTTGATGATTTTATCTGGCTAACAGAATATCATTCCCTTTGAACAGTTCTTCTTGTTTACCAATGTTCTTTTGTTTTGAAAGGGGAAAAACAGTCTTCGCCTACTTTGGAATAGTTTTGCCTCAGTCAAAATTATGGGAATTTTTGTTTTGAAACTCTGCACTTATAAAGGGCTGTTCATGAAGTTCTAAAACTAGATATAGAAACTAAGGACTTTCAAGTTATTATGGTAACAAACTTGAAGAACTAATGTTGTTTATCCTAATAATATTGGTATGTGATATCTACTGTTCAACCATGATTTTGAACTTGTGACAGTAAGAAAGTTGTACTAATAATCAGAGATGTAGCCATAATATTGTTGAGTAATCTTTATAACTGATAATGATAGCTAGTGCCCAAAATTAGTTTTCCAAATTGACTATATAACCTTGGAATATTGTGTACCTGGAGTTTGAAATTGTGATTCCACTATAATAATTCTTTACCTGGTGTTAGTGTGGATTAAATCCATAAACTTTATTCTGGAATTTAAATTATCTCTTTCAGTTCTGGCTGAAAAAAGCGGGAAAAAAAACTTTCATGTGGCTCTTGCTGTTACTTTGTGCTTTCAGACATGGTAGTTAGGGATAATTGGTCTGCCAATTTAGTGGCTGTCAAATGATGAATAAAATCATTTTTGTTTTAGGAGAAAAACAATGTGACTTTGATATTATTTTAAATTGTATTATGACGTTTTTGGTATGTCTGACCCAGGGAGGTGGACCAGTGCACTAAAAACTCTTCCTCTTGCCAGCCATGAGACTTGTGCAGCGATAGAATTTTACCACAACCAACTGAAGATTAGACTGTTGAATGAGAAAAACATCAGTGTTTATCAGCGTGCTGATTGGTTAGTTGACAAGTTGGGTACCAAAGTTCATTCTTATTTTTGGCTTGATGAATATACGGGAAAAGATGATTTTGCACGATATTGGAAAAATGAATGGGCAAGCGGTTTAACATCATGGCGCAAAACACTGAAGATACAAGATTCTGATGTTGTCATGGATGATGGATGTGCTAAGGTTATTGATCAACTCGATCAAGATAAAGTTCATGTTGTCTGGAATCCTGGTTCTATGTTTGGAATTTGTAATTGTGATTGGGCACAAGAAGGCAACCTTTGTGAGCACATCTTAAAAGTTATTAGTTTTTGTCAGAAGAAAAGGTCTATTCTTCCATCTATCAGCTTATTTCAGTACCACCAGGCGTTAATAGACATGCTGCACTGTCCACCCTATGATTCTTTGATTCGTGATCATGCTGTGTCATTGGCAGTTTCTGTTCAGAAGCAATTAAATATGCTGCTTGATTCAGAAAGCCGCCAGAATGTTATGGATCCTCCTGGTGAGAAACACACCATTCATCACACCAATCAACTAACATCCAGTTTAGAAACATTGTTGGGCCGGATGAGACAAAGAAATGATGCTTCATCTCGTGAAGGTGACGGTTCTGCAGAAGGAAGTGAAGCTCCTGGATTACTAAATGTTGGTTCGGGAGATCAGGTTATTGGTGATGGACAAGGCACGTTACCGGCTGATATGGATGTCGACCCATCGAGGATTTGTGTTTCGCCAATCCCACCAGGTTTGTACTCTGTTGATGAGGCTGTCGTGAGTAACATGTTGCCACTGGACAGAGAGGGGGCTCTGACTCCTACAGGGAGTGAGATGTCTTCTTCCAGAAATGGTGCTTCTTGTGGATCACCAACGGAGACTATAAAGCATTGTAGCCAGCAGAACACTGCCAATGGTACGTCCACAGTTATGTCTCATGCTGTAGATTCTGATATTCACTTGAACAAGAGATCCCACTTGATATCGGTGGATACTGAACCACCAGTGGTTAATGTAGTTGAAAATGAAAACCCAGAGAACATGGATGTTGATATGAGACCAAATAATACATGACCATTTGGCATGAGGAGCTATTATCAATTTCTTAAATCAAAACATAACTAAATGATGTTTTTTTTTTTTTATCAATTTTCTTACAGCATTGCATGGTTGGATTTTTCGGAAGAAATTGTGTCAACTAGATTGATGTGTGAATTGAGTTCTGCTACGTAGCAGAGCCCGTAAAAAATAGAGCCGGTAAAATTTGATTGAAAACTGATAAAAATAATAAGTTAAAATTAGAGTATAATAGTTTAATTAGAATTAATTTAATCACAACTGGGTCTTTCCTAAATAGTTATTAAGGAGAAAATTTCGGTAAAATATTTATCAAGGAGAAGCTTTAGGTACTTGCTGTATTTTTTTCAAAACGTTAATTTTAGAGTTAGCTAAAAGATAAAACATGCACCGAGAAAAGAAAAATATAAATGTTCTAACTGGAGCAAGAAAAAAAGACTAACTGAAGTCCTTAAGTTTTTCTCCCTCCGAAGTAAATTTTAAACTAGTATTTTTATCCATTTAATGATTTTTTTAATAATAAACAGAAAATCATTGACAGACCACTTCATAATAAACATTTTAGAAAGTTTACTTGATTAAATATTGTCAATTAAACATATAGACTCTCCAACGGTACAGCCTTCAGGAGTTGAAATATCCACATATTGTACAGACTATACCCGAATAGGGAGAAATTCATATGTAAGGGGGAAGGAGAGACAAAGAATCACACCACAATTTTTTCACTGTCAAAGATTTGTTTAATCTTTTGCAGTCCAGCATAAGAGATACTATTCAAGGCCATGAATTTTTTTTTGAAAAAAGAAACAACCGAAATTCTAAATTAAATTTGATGGCAGCTATGATTGCTTAAATTTTCTGCACAAGATTTTTCTCATAATGTGTCTTGAGATGCCCATCCTTTCTTCTCCAACTCTAGTCGCAATGCCTGTTATTAACCCAGCAAGATTCTTTCATCAATCATACCAAATATGCATGCAAACAGAGCAATAACACAAAAAAGATTTATGCTTTGCTTATATTACCTTGATTCTCTTTCTGTTTGCATCAAAATCAAAGTTTCCCAGTCTTGATGCAGATCGATACTCCACAATTGAGTTCTTCCCAGGTCGGAACCAGAACTCAACATCATCCACAAACTGATAGAACATAATGATAAATGCATCAGATTGTCTGGTTTTTGCCATGGTGTTACTAACATCTCTGAACAATCTTATGAAAAATCTCTTAACATACCCCAAAGATTGGGCATTGGTACTCCACGCGAATATAGTCTTCTCTTCTTTCTGCTATTCGTGGTGTAAATCTGTCAGGTTGAGTTGTTTCTATCTGCAAAATTAGCCAGAAATGAGGCCACCAAGCTTTACTTCAGAGAGGAATGAGACAGTACAAATTTGATTATTCAAAAGATTCGGGGTCATAATTTTAATTTAGACTTACCACGTCTATCAGTTCCTCCATTGCTTCTTCTCTGCTCACAGGCTTTTTCCTACCTTCACCGTTATAGTTCCTGTAAGAGTCAGGAATATACAATTACATGTAAGACCCAAATTTTGTCTTCATTACATCTTTGAATATACTATGTATATCTACTATTGTCCAATGGTTTGGATTAGTTGGTACAATCTATAACGCCCAATGGAATGACCAGTAAGTTGATGGAGCGGAAGGATAACAATTTACAAATTTTTATGTTATACTTGTTTTTCGAGTACTTAAACCTTGTTCAAAGGGGTCAAAAAGATTGAAAAGGTAAAAAGAATTATACAAGGTTGAATAACATGGGTGAAGAAAATTTTTTAAGTAAATACAAAAACCGAGAAAAAAAAAACAAATCAATTACAATTTATCAATAGCATGTTCCACATAGATTTTATATTTTATATGGTGTTTATTTGGCCTAAAAATAAGAAAACGAACACGTTTATTCATGAATGACAAAGTCAAAGAATCTCTCGCAAAGTCAATGCCCCACAGCCCAACTATAGCACCGCACTAATTTCACGTTTCCAATTCCAAATGTGTTAAATTATTCCAACATGATTCACATGGGCACGCTCTCTATTCTTCCAGCCGCCCCTTGTACACCAAACCCCGTACGGTTCATCTTTTCTGGTTTGTTTCATTCAGAGGTTTATCAGATTGCAGAGTTCATTTCGGGCCTTCAGTGATAAATAAATTAAACTAATTCACTCAATCTCAGAAACCAGAGTTCAAATAAGAAGAAGAAGAAGAAGAAGAAAGGAAGCTTTACCAAGGCGGGGCATAATGCGCAAGATCACTGACATTCTCCGATGTCGACACGCAGTTCTTAGTTGCCGGACACAGAGCCAGTGCCGGTGGATTTTTCTGAACTCCAAGGTAATCAGGTTTTTTCCCACTGAAATGCAGGACAAATCCAAGCCAAAATTACCTCATTTTCAATAAAAAAAAGAATAATCCAAATGTTCCTAACATGCGCTTCAATCACCAAGTCCAAACCCATAGATTAAAACAAGAAAAAAAAAATTAGGAGGAAATGAAAAACAGCTGTGGACCTGAAATTGAAAATGGCACCAATGGTGGCTATCTCGCTACTCTTGAGAATTAGCTCCCTGTGTAAAAATGTGAGAAGCATAACAAATTTCAACCTACGAGCATAAAAGATGAACGGAATAGTTTCTGAAGAAGAAGAAGAAGTCTGACCTGCGTTTGATTTGCTCTGGAGGCTTGTCGTGGGGTTTTTTATTGCAGAGTTGGATACGGGGAATGCTATTGGTTTTGCTGAAAATCTTAAGGGCACAGAAGGTTCTGGAAAACGCCATTGAAGCCATTGTTGTATGAGGAGAAGCTGAGAGCAAGGCGTTAGGAGAGGAGAGCTACGAGGCTTTTGAAGCGTGCGATGGCCGGTGGCACTCATCTTATCACCGTCCACGAGGAGGCCAGCCGGCGGCTTCCGAAACGCTGTCGTTTCCGAATTTGCGGCTGATAAACATGTGACCATATTCCACTAATACATTTTTTATTTGTGGATGGCAGGATTATGGGTATGTTTGGATTGGCGTTGGGCAAAACTGATTTTTAACTTAACTGACTTTTGTAACTGAAGTTAGAGTAAAAGTCAGTTAGTGTAATGCAATTTATGTTTGGATAGATGCTTTTAAAAAGTCAGTTGAAAAAGTTAAAAGTTGTTTGAATGATTAATAGAAAAGTTAGTTTACTTGTAAAATGACTGAAAAGGATATGGAGTAGTCTTTAAAATTTTATATTGTTAATATGATAATAATTTAAAGAAACACGTAAAATTATTATGATAAAATATAAATAGTTTATTTGTAAAATTATAAAATAAAAATATTTGTTACAGAGAAAAATTTAAAAATATATTATAGATAATTAATTAAATATACATGATGAACAAACATGAATATAAATTAAAATTTATTTGGTCTCTAATTAAAGTAAATAGAATCACATAACTAATTAGATTATAAGTTTTGCACAATTTTTCCATAAGTCAGTTAGAAAAGTTGATCCAGATTGCGTTGGATAAGTCAGTTAGAAAAGTTACTTTTTTTCATAAGTCAGTTATAAACAAAGCTCAATCCAAACAATCTTCTGAGTTGCAATAAGCCACAAACCACAGTTTCACGCTTTCCCGTGTGCTTTTACCCTCTCAAACGGAAATCCAAACATAGCCTATAACATCACGTTTGGTACGGTGGAATTGGGCATTGGCAAGTAAAACTTGAAAAGAAAGCTACTAGAAATTTTTTTTTTTGGCCGGGCGACTTGACGATCGTATCCTATTGATACAATACGACCATATTTTTCAAATTAAAACAGACAATTTTTTCAAATAGTTATAACAATACTCTAATCTTTGAGGCTAATTCAATAAAAAAATCTTCTTCCTAAAAATAATATTAGGATCATGGCTATCCAATTCAATTATAATTAATTAATAATATGATTTCATAATTCTGATTAAAAATTATATATAACTGTGTGCAATAAAAATATTAAAATTCTACAAAAGTTTTGATTTTGATTATATATTAATAAAATATTAAAATTTATAAAAATTATGGCTAATGGGAAGTATGAAGTGTAGTGCATACATAATAGGGAGAAACTCGCACATTATAAGAAATGTTCCTGTCGAGGTTTAGCTTTTTCTAATAAGGCTGCCACAAATTTAAATTAATTTAGATTGTGTTAAATATCTTTTATGTTTGTATTTTATTTTTTGATTCTATATCACTAAAAGTCTTGGCCAAATATCATTAACTGAGGGTTTATGTATCTATTTATTCAATAAATAAGTCAATCAACCTCAAATAAAACTATATGGTATCAGAGTAGTCATAATGGGCCTGAATTTGCAAGGCCAAGATGATCAAGGTACAATAATAGCATACTCCTCAGGTTTGATAGTACCAAGCTCTTCAATGACCATTCCTTCTGGTTGGCAACAACAAGTTCATTCAATAATTAGTCTTCATCTGATACCACACTTGTTTCCATCACCATTCATGGATTTAAAACTTGGACTAAATTAGATAGTTAGACTAGTCCAGTCGGCAGTTAAAAAACTTAACAGTTCATTTCTTATAATTTAACTATTTGAAAAGTTTAATCATTTTGAACCACTAAAAATCGGCTTTTGAGCCAAGAACAGTAATGGTTTTTTATGAAATCAAATCATTCATGCTTTTTGTTAATAAAAGAAGTAGCAAAAGCAAGTACAAATGGTTGGGATGGAAGGGAGAAAGAAAATAGAGAGAAATGAGAGAAAGAAAATAGGAAACAAGATCACAAATCAACAATTGTACCTCTTTTTTTAGATTCGACAATAGAAGAAAAATAATAGCACAACAGAAGCTTAATGAACATGGCTAGGAGAGAACGAACTAATGTCGGCGACCTTCCTTCACTTGGTTGAAAAATAAAACCCTATTGACAATAAATAAGCTATTCTTTACCCAAAGTCTTAATCCACTCAATTTTTTTTCATGAGAAGAAAATAAAACAAACTAAATATAAAAAAT